TTAAAAGTGCAATATGTGATTTAGGAGCTTCGATTAACATTATATTGCTTTCTGTTTATAAGATGATTACTAACGAGTCTTTGAAAGAAACACAAGTGACTATACAGTTGGTGAATTGCTCAGTCATTCACCCAGTGGGAGTGCTCAAAAACGTTTTGGGGAGAGTTGACGTTCTTATTTTTCTTGCTGGTTTTTATATAATCGACATGGAAAACGACAGGACGATACTTGTTCCGAAGTTCTATTAGGCTGACCCTTCCTAAGCACCGTAAATAAGAAGATCAATGTGATAAACGGTATGTTGATGATGGAATTTGATGGCTAGATCACAGAGTTTGACGTCTACAAAACGATTCAACCTCCCCACAATGTCGTCGGTCTAAATTTTATCGATGTTATTAAACATGTAGTTGATGAATTTTTAAGAAATAATTTTTCGACAATTTATGCAGGAAATCAGAAGATAAAAAAGACAAATTTAGGGAGTTGAAAAATGTTTTTTCTGAAGGATCTGATTTGCTAAAAATAAAGCCGAAATCATCATGGGATCGTTCGAAGAAACCAATGTTTGGTAAAGGAGATGTATTGGCGACCATTCTTTTCGACAAGATTTTAAAGCGGGGAAAATTCGAAGAAATCTTCATGATAATATTCAAATTTCTCATAAAGAATTTCTTAGTTAGAAAAAACAAATGAAGTGGAAGTGTTTATTACGGACCTGTAATTTGAAACAGATCATCGAGCTAATAAAGTTAAAAATAGCGCTTTATGGGAGACAACCCATATTCGTTTTAATTTATTTCAATGCTTCATTTTTATTTTCGACTTTAGTTTTGTTTGCTTTTGATTTTTGATTTTTTGTAGGTACCCCATTATTCGATCTTGAATTTTAAATGTGAGTTAGTCGACAGTTGTCCGAACCGATAGCAAATAATCGTTAAAAATCGAACCCCAGAGCATGAGAAGTACATGCACGGCAGCACCAAATTTGCAAGTGAGAGCAGCATTCTCACATAAAAAGGGGCAAGCATATCGGGCAAGGTTGGTGGATTTCACCCAAATTATGAAACTCACCGTTTCATTAATTGGGTGCACATTAGCACCATTTTTATGGGTCCCAGACGCATGATAAAAAAAACCCAAAAATTGGTCCCCATTTTTGTCACATACCCCACACTTATTTCCCTCAAATCTTAACATTCCCCTATTTGTTTTCTTCCAACCGCCCAAGCAACCCAATCATTTTCAACCACTTCTTCCAATCACCTTTTAAATTTTAAAACTCAAATAACTATCCTATTATTTTATCCTTTGACCTAATTGAAAATATATTTTATATTTTCAAGCCTTTGACCTTCTTTTCCTACGTGAAGTCGCAAACCCAAAACAAAATAAACTTTTTCCCTTCCATACTCAATCGTTCGCTGCTAACTCGTGCACTGACCAACCTTGCTCTGATTGACTGCCGCCTCTTTACCGTCAATCGTCATCGTCATTCAAACATTAGTTCCCTTACTCTTTTCCATATATTTTTCATATAAATTTTGCTCTCAACAATGGTTCAAACTAGAAATAAAATTGATAACCCATCCCGACCACCCGTCATTTTTGGTGGGGACGTCGACATTTTGTTATGCTTCTCATGATGGAGGTGCTAAGCGGCTCGAACTCCCAATCATGCAACCATCACTGCCTCATACACCCGCTGCCCGACATGGTAAGTGTCACATATCACTCTCGTGCGCTCGTTTTCCTACTCCGGAACCCATCTACGTGCATTAACAGTCTTCTTCCACCACAGTGATCATGATTCCACGGACTTTTTCGTGCCACCACAAAGCATTGTTGGATCATCAAGAGCACGATCGAGCCATGCTTTATTAGCGGCTACTCGAACCTTACACACGACACCATCAGTATCTTAGTCTTAGTCAATGTTGGATTATGCCCCATCATTTACCGCATATTCCGCCACTGCCGATCAACCTGAAGTTAATTCTGAGCCTGTCGATATTGAACCACTAATGGTGTAACACCCTGTATTTGGCTATTCCGAAGATTTTTGAAACAATTTTCCGTTTCAGACCGGTATTCCACCAAAGTCGAGCCCTGAGCCATCGTCAGTGCCCGAGCAATCCTCTTCATTATGCCCATTCTCCGGGCAGCACCATGCTTCACATTTTGCTGCACATTCAGATGAATCCGAGGATGTTGGGGATGATACATTCGACCTCTTCGACGAGCGCAATCATTGTGGCTGAACTTACACAATTTTGATCGAGGAGGTAATGCAAGGGTATCTCGATTTCAATGGTGACGAAGTGTTACTATTCAACAACATTCACCATCGACGATTTCAGGTATGCAAATATATCCCATCATATACACTTGATATTTTGCATTTGAGTGATGATGTTGCACATTATTTCGATGCCATTGGCTGGACTCCGTACTCTAATATTCGATGCAACACTTATTACGAGACAATCTTTGAGTTTTACATGACTTTTAAATTCTCACAAAATCGTGTTGCAACTTTTCGATTGTTGGATCAATATTTTAGAATGACATTGGTTGATTTTAATTTTTCCATGGGGTTGGTGACGAATGTCACAGACCGAGATTTTCTAACGTCTTTGTGTGAGATCCCACGGGACTTTGACACCGACATGGCCTACGAGGCACTTACCAGCATAGTGGGAGTACAATTTGACTCTCGAACATCAAAAGCGAGCCACAGTCACGACCCAGCTCTTCGATATATCCATCAGTTTCTAGCATACAACTTCTTCGGACGTATCGATACTAATTCCTGCTTAAATAAGGTTGAGTTATTCTTTTTGTGGTGTATGCAAACCATGCCAAAGGTAAACTTAGGGTATTGGTTTGTGCACACATTCAAAAAAGTTGTGCGAACTAATCGATCCTTATATTACGCACCTAGCTCAACATTTATTTTCAACAACATTCGATACTACTAATTTCACTTATGTTTTTTCCTATGGATGTTTTGGACTCTAGGTGCTTGGATTCCATGGGAGTTCTTGTTAGAACACTCGTCGCTCTACACATTGTGCCTCTTGACACCACCACACCATGCCATGAGCATGTCTTTATAAGTAGGGTTGATCCTTTATCAGCACCGGTGGCTAGCACACAACCGGACGTGCTAGAAGAAATGCAAGGTGTTCAAGGTCACCTCGCCTATATCGAATCCAATCTCGCCGAGATTACCTCCTACCTACGACTGGGATTGTCTCGACATACCCGTGATTGGTGGTCGTCATTAAACCAGGGAGTCTTCTTTTTGCCTCTCCTATGCATCTTTATTCTGAATTACGTTTTGGGACAAAACGAACTAAGTGAGGGGGAGTATAGTTGGATTTTTCCTCGCTTATTGCATGCTTGAAATTGAATATTTTGATATTAATATGCTTGATCGATTGATTGCTCGTTCTCTTGATTTGTTGAGTAATTTGATTGTTTTCCAATGAATTATCTAATTTCGCTTTGAATTGACGTTGAATGCATGATGGTTCGTTGGTTTAGCTAGTTAATATATCGAAATTATGATGTTCCATGGATTATTGGTTAGTTGATGCATTCACTTGATTCATTGAACCTTTTTTGGTGAGAATTGAGCCTAATGAGCATGAATTCTTTGTTTCATTCTTTCTCTTTGTTTCTTTGTGTGTGTCGAGCATTGTTTTTGCATTCTAAAACTTGTGGTTTGATTCTTTTTTAGGCTACATGCATAATGAATTCGATGCTTTTGGATGATAGAGGCATTAGGATTAATCATTTTCTCTACCACAATAAAAAGCATACCCTTTAATTTACCCCTTAGTAAACTAAGTTTGAGCCGATTTTCCCTTTTCTTTGATTTTCATATCATAATATTAAACCCGAAGCCTTTTCCTTCATATCCCCTATTTTCATACCCTTGTTGAGACCTTGATCATTCACTTTCGTCACCACACACAAAAAAAGAGAAAAAAAACAATTGAAACGGTGAAGAAATACTGTTGGAAATGTTGTTCGATCCGAAAAAAGGTTTTGAAAAAAATAGCACCCCTTTGTTCGAATGGCAAAAAGAAAAAAGAAGAAAAATGACCCTTGATTCAAACGATTATCCCTTGGTTGTTTTATTTTAATTCTTTTCATTATGCTTCAGTCTTATTGGTGGATTGTTTCAATGACTCTTTGTCTCAATAATTTTAAACCTTTCTTTTCGGCATATTTCCCTACCTAAACCTTAGCCACGTTATAACCCGATTAAAGACCTCTTGACTCTTGCATTGAATTTGTTTTTATGTGGTAGAGATTAGATCACATTACAAGCTTATGGTTATTCATTGACTTGCTTTGGCTTGAGTGTTTCTTGTCCTTAAACACTTTGAGTGAATCCTTTGTGTGGTAATCAAGTTGTGCATCATGAGATTAGTAGCCATTGGAATGTCTTGTTTCGATCATTTCCTAGCTTTGCAACTTGCTTGATTTCTTTCTAAGTTTCAATTCTTTGTTTAATTGTGGTTTATTGGGGCAGTTGGATTATGATATGAATTAAGGAATGGCAACCTATGGATTAAAAATTAAAAATACTCAAACAAAAAAGATAAAAGACATAACATAAAAAACAGGAGAACCAATAGGCATCGGCGATCGACAACCACCAATATGATTGGTGACGCTGTCGGCTAAATAAAAATTAAAGAGAAAGAAGAAGATGGCACAAAAATATTGAAAGAAAACTAAGTTGAAAAAAAAAAGGTGACTAGAGTTTTTTTAAATTCTAACTTAATTATCAATAAAAATGTAAGTCAATATTAAGTTATTCATTGTTTATTCCTCTCATGTGTAATTTATTATTATTATTTGTTTAAAATCGTGTAAAGGGAGTAGATGATATTAAATTATTAATAGTGGAGTTTCATATGTAGAGCTTCTTCGTCCATCATGCCATAATTAAAAGGGAATTGAAAACCCATTTAGAGAAATTAAGATAACAACGTAGATGTATTTACGATCCCTTTTTCTCCTTTCCTTCTATACCCAGCAGGCAGAGCATACAATAGAAATACATTAAGGCTATAGTACTATTTAGTAACCTGGAAACATTGGTGGAGGTGGTGACGAGTATTGGAATCCAATGTTTGGTGGGAGGACGATATCCACTTTGGGAGGTGGTGCAAGTTTGACAACAGGTGAAGGTGGGGATCGTACTGGTGGAGGTGGAGAATAAACATGTGGTGGCGGAGAGTAGATTAATGAAGGTGGTGAGTGCATCAGCTGGGGTGAAGAAGGAACAGGTGGTGGTGGTGGTGGTGGTGAATGGACAGGTGGTGGTGGGGAATGGGCTGGTACAGGAGGTGGAGATTGAACTGGTATCAGAGGAGGTGAGGGGAGTGGAACAGGAGGTGGGGAGTGGACTGGTACCGGAGGTGAAGATTGAACTGGTACCGGAGGTGGAGAGTGGACTGGTGGAGGTGGAGATTGGACTGGTGGAGGTGGAGAATGGACTGGTACCGGAGGTGGAGATTGAACTGGTAACGGAGGTGGAGATTGAACTGGTACCGGAGGTAGGGAGTGGACTGTTATCGGAGGTGGAGATTGAACTGGTAGCGGAGGTGGGGAGTGGACTGGTACCGGGGGTGGAGACAGAACTGGTGGTGGCGGGGAACGAACTGGCACTAGTGGTGGAGATTGAATTGGTGGTGAAGTTGGAGGTGGAGATTGAACTGGTATCGGAGATGGAGACGGAACTGACGGTGAAGGTGAAGGAACAATAGGAGCCGGTGGTCTAATAGGAGACGGTGGAGATTGATAAATCGGATCGGGTGATGGTTTTGGTTGTGGCTTGGGCATTGGAGGAGCTCGAACCGGTGCCTTCGGGGGGTTAGGCTTAGAAGGTAAAGGCCCTACAGCACACTGGTCCTTGCTACAATCAACCGGATTACTCACCACCGATTGACATTCATTATTCAACTTCTGATTTAACCGACCAGCCACACAATTACCAGAATCATCCAACACAATGGTGTTCCTTTCAGGCGATACACAACCTTTAGGCTCCTCAGTGAAATAATTGTGAGAAAAGGTGAAATTAGACAAGCTTGGCAACTTGCAGAGATTTTCAGGCACAGCTCCCGTCAACTTGTTGTGAGAAATATCCAAAATGTCAATGCTCTTCAAGCTCGATATATTTTGTGGCAAACTACCGGTGAATGAGTTGAAGCTAACATCGAAAATAGTGACATTGGCAAGCAATCCAATTTCTGGGGGGAAACAACCACCAAGGTCATTGTTCATGAAAAGGATTTCATTCAATCTCCCCATTTTCCCAATGCTACGTGGAATACAGCCTTTGAACTTATTGTTGGCAAATGTCACGACCGAGACCAAAGAGGTTCCAATTGTTTCGGGGATTGAACAAGTGAACCGATTGTTGTTTAAAAACAATGCATCCAGCTCCTTCTCAAAGATCTCTGGTGGTAAACAACCTTCAAAATTATTGTATCTTATATCAAGATACTTAATGGTTGTCCATGTCATTACAACCTCAGGGAATGGGCCAACGAACCGGTTGTTGCTTATATCAAATTCGTACATAAGATTAAGCCTTGAAAAGCTCTTGGGGATAATACCACAAAACCTGTTGGAATTTAAATGGATCAATGCAAGGTCGGTCATCAACCCCAACTCTACTGGAAGATAACCGGCAATGTCGGCATGGTTAAGGTCAATACCAGCCACGACCGTCAAATTCGGGTCATCCAATGCCGGAGCACAAAACACGCCTTTGTAGCTACACACATTGGACCCAAACCAGTTCCGGGTGATGTTCAAAGGGTCGGAGTACATAGCTTTTTTCCAGGCTTGAAGAGCAATGAAGGCCCTCCTAAGCCTTTCATTTTTGAAAGTTTCCGTTGTTTTTACTGTATATTCAAACCCATCGGGGAGATCACCATTTTCGGGTAGAGCTAAGAGTTGACGACGAGCGATATAAGACGCTTCGTTGTCGGATAATGCAGAAGTGGGTATAGCTTTATACAAGAAAAAACAAAAGAATAAAAGAAAGCAGCCCAAGGCCGGAAGAGCTTTCATTATTGGCCACCTTGGTCTGCCCAAGGCTGCTTTTGCAATGAAGATGGAACCGTAAGAAGAGGATTATATAGGGAGAAAAATGTCTAATTTTAGCTACCGGAGAGATTGTTGGATGGCTTATATATTTTTAGAGACAAATTGGTGGCCTTGTGAGAAGTAAGGTTTATTAATGAAATAACTTGACACAAATTCTGTTGACAAATAATCAAGAATAATATATATGTATATAGTTTAATTAAATAACTTGACACTAATTCTATTGAAAAATAATCAAGGAATCATAAGTACTATATATATATATATATATATATATATATATATATACATACATATTATTTATTAAATTTTTAACTAAGTTGATTTCATGAAATAACTTGAGAAGAATTATGTTAAAAAGCAATTTAAATAATCTCATTTAAAATAGCACGAACCAAATAATTTCGGTGATTAAGGGATTATTACACCTCATATGCAAAGGTATATGGGTGTCATTTTCAAAGTCTTTAAACAAATATTATCTTGTATTATCTCGTATTAATAAAAAAATCATAAATATTATTTCAGAAATGTTTCTATCTTTTCATTTTTATATAAATTTTCTTATTTTTTATATCTTTATAAATGTACAATAATTTTGGATCAATTTTGTTTTTTTATATATGATATAATATACTAGAGGAACTTTATTGGGAAAAATAAGGTAGTATACTAATTTACTTGGATGTCTTGTATGTACAGCTATGTATCAAACTCTGAATATATGAGAATTTTGGTGAATTTCAAGTGTTAATAATAAGATGCTTCAAGGGGAATGCCACATTCATTGGTTCGTGCATGTTATAATTATTTTCATTCATGTTTCAAATAATCTTTAAAATTTCATTGGTTCATTTTATTATTGGCCACCTTGGTCTGCCCAAGGCTGCTTTTTCAATGAAGATGGAACCGTATGAAGGGATTATATTGGGAGAAAAATGTCTAATTTTAGCTACCGAAAATATTGGGGAACGGTTCAATTTGCAAGGCTTTGAAATAAAGGAATATACAATTTGGGTTTTAGTTTGTAATTGAGTTTAATTATGTTTTTCAAGGTTTTTTTTATTAATATGCTTTCCAAATCTATATATATCATGTACATGGACAAATGCAGGATTTTAAGTTAGGGGGCGAACTTGAACTTATAAAATTTCAGGGGACGTACTTAAACCTATAAAATTTTAGAGGGACAAAAATAAATTTTTAATAAAAATATATATATATAGAAAAAATCTAAAATAAGTATTAGTTTATATTTTTAAGGGGGCGACTACCCCACCCGCTTCCAAACCCATCATGATTATATATAAAAATCAAAACCACTCAACACAGATGCAATAAGTATTGTTACTTTACTATAATTTTTGATAATTATTAAATGATAAAAATAAAATCAAATAATATGCTTGCTATAATTGTACTACATAAAACGTTATTATTTCATGCACAGTAGAGAAGTGTATTTCATAAATTTATATATATTTAAATCTTGTAATTTTTTTTTTTATGTTTTGAGAATTAGACGCGAATCACATAGATTGATTAAAGGGAACTTTAAACACTTTAAAAATCGAAGTAATTGATTCGTTCATTAAGAGACTTCCACATAAGAATCTGATTCTGTAATTCCACTTCATTTGAATCCATAAACAAGCAAGAAATTTTGTTCCACTGCGAACTAAAAGCATCGGGAAGCTCATCTAACGTCTACAAATCAGCATCTTCAACAATTAAAACTCTCAAGACTCATTCATTCTTCTCTATATTCATCATCTCATCTAACCATTATAACCAAGCTAAAATTTCTGATGTGCCCATTCTATTTTTGATTTGAGAAATGCTTCTCGACCATCTCAAGTATGTGTCTGAGCTGAGTGTAATGGTTCAGATGATGCTTCAAGAGAAGTTGTCTCGAAAGAGATAGAATTCGTTTCAAGGGAAACGATCTCAAAGATATTTGTTGTTTCATGAAAACGGTTTCAAGGGAAACAAAATTTTGCTTTAAGGGAAATAAATTTGAAGATTTTGTGTTTTAAGAGAAACTGTCTCAAGGGAGACAAAATTTGTTTTAGGGGAAATAAATTCAAAGATTTTGTTTCAAGGGAAATTGTCTCAAGAGAGACGAAATTTGTTTCAAGAGAAACTGTCTCAAGAGAGACAAAACTTAGTTCCAAAAGAAACTGTCTCAAGGGAGATGAAATTTGTTTCAAATAAAACATATTCAAATAATTTGTTTCAAGGGAATCTGTCTCAAGAGAGACAAAATTTGTTTCAAGGGAAACTGTCTCAAGAGAGACGAAATTTATTTCAAGGGAAATGTTTTCAATGTTTATGTTTCAAGAGAAACTGTCTCAAGGGAGACAAAATTTTGTTTCAAGGGAAACTATCTCAAGAGAGACAATTTGTTTCAAGGGAAATGTTTTCAATGTTTATGTTTCAAGAGAAACTGTCTCAAGGGAGACAATATTTTGTTTCAAGGGAAACTATCTCAAGCGAGATAAAATCTTCTTTTTAAAAACAGTCTTGAGTGAAATGAAATGCCTTCTTTCGAGTGAAACAGTCTCAAGTGAGACAAAGTATGTTTTAAGAAAAGCAATCTCAAGTGAGATAATCATCTGCATTAAATGAGACTGTCTCAAGCGAGACAAAATTTATATTGGAAATGTTGAATCTAAAGATGAATATCGATCTTTCAATCTGTCGAGTTGGTTGAAGTGTGACTTCTTGTTGCTGAGTTAAGCAACCACCATCGATTTTTACAAACTCTTTTGAATCAAGTATCTTTCGCCTTGAAGTTGAAACTTGACTCTAAAGCTGCAAAACTTATGTATGTGAAAAAAATGATAAATATGATGCTCTAAAATGTATGCATAATGAATGAGTTCTTGTTTTATTCCTTGGATAGAATCTCATTTTTAGTCTGTTGGTTCCTATATGTGGAGGAAAAGCCTTCGAAAGATCTAATCGTTCGCATCAGGATTTTGAATCCCCAGAGATGCCCCAATATTCAATGTTGAATCTCCAAAAATGCCCCAACATTAAAAGTGTCCCTATTGTTCCTCATTTCTTGCTTCAACATTAATTATAAGCATGAGATTATTTTCTGAGTGCCACATGTCATTTACCAAGATCCACTCTAGAGAGATTGTCTTGTTTGAAAAAATATTTCTCTTTTATTTTCAAAGTTCTGAAAATATTAATTAAAAGAGTTTCAAAAAATGTTTAATCAGAAGTTTTGAAAATATTGCACCTTTCACGGTTTTACAATTGAGACAAATCATAAAACTAGAGTTCATTGGATATCAAAGAATTAATTACAATGTTAATCCTTCAATAAATTATAGCTATTTGACATGTGCCAAGATCAAAGCTATTTTTGGGAAATGGTTAAGTAAAGAAAGGATAAAAAAGTCTCAGGTTATTGTGTTTGGTCAAAGGTTTGGCATTTTTTGTTTATTTGATGCTCAAAGGTTTGATGGGGTACCTTGTATGCTCCTCTACTGGAAATGTTCTCCGACTCCCAACTTTCATGGTCATGCTCAGATTGTGCGATGCCTTATCAAGGAATTTGTGCGATCGCCTCAGCTGCCCAATTTTTGTATTCGAGCTGCCATTTCAGGTTTTCAACTCAAATCCTCTTTTGGTTTCAAGACGTCATTCATTTACGTATTGAACCCCCTTTGTTATTTTTCTCTATCATATATTAATTACATTGTTTTTTGCAAATAACGATTAGTCCTGATGGGCGGGATGAAATCTGAAGACAGTCTCTTCTGTTTAGAAATCCATGTATGATTAGAAGGGACTTTTAAGGCATGTAATATAGGTCATGGTTCATGGTTATGAAAGAAAGGGATAAAAGTCTCAAACAAGTATTTAAGGGTGATTGAACCAAGGATCAATTCATTCTGATGTCTTCAATCATATCTTGCTCAATTTGAATATGCTCGTATGTGTGTCTCTCTTGATGCTCTATGATCTTCGAGTGGAGTGATTCAGTAATTCAGAAATGATTGTGCTTGATCAATCTCATTTGATGCTCTATGATCTTCGAGTGAAGTGGTTCAGTGATTTGATCAATCTCATAGTTTGAATCTCGATGTGTCGTTTGAATCGAGAGAATCTTTGCATATGCATATTGTTTTCTTTTTTCTTCAATTTTCCTTTGTTTTTTCTCTTTTTATTTTCTCTTTGCTTTTTTTCTCTTTTTTCTCTTTTTGTTCTGATTGAATCTTCGCACTTGGCATTTGGTTCACCTTTCGGTATCTCATCTGAATCAATGTCTTCACTCATGCGAGCAGATTTTCTCCACCTTGCCCCCAGTGTGGAGGGTAATCCTTGGTTAGGGTTGAATCAGAAGAAAAATACTATAGGCTCAAAAGGGGACACAAGAGATATATATTTTCTCCTGTTGTGAAGGGATGAAGAAAGAAATTCGTTCATCATTTCATACATGGAAGTCCTCACAGAATATGTATCCCCAGGGGGATAGATTTTCAGGATTAATTTTATTCACATGAAAACAGTATAATTAATGCATGGTAGAATTATTTCGAGTGAATTCTTCTTTCTGCTTCTTGCCCCCAACATGTCTCAATGTTCAGGCTCCCTGCGAGATGCCCCAAGTTGTGTCTTAGAAGAATGCTCATGTTCAAATGAACAACTTAATGACTTGGGTTTTAATGGTATAAAAATGTCAATTTTGAGTCTAAAAAGACAATGATGTGACTTTATTGACTCAAAGAAAGGTATGGGTGTATCAAAAAGATAAAGGCATTGTTAAAAAATTTCAAAGGGAGGTAATGTCAAAATTTTGTCTTTTTGGTAATGATCATGAGTTATTTTGGGTAAAGAATCAAGGTATTTTATTTTGGGGTTTGAGACAGGATAAGAAAGGTATAACCTTGTCATGTGTCAAAAATCCATAATTCTTGAAGAATTAAAAGAATCCTTAATTTATTTAATATTCGAAAAAC